CTTCGAACTCTCAAAAGTAGAGGAACAAAGCACTCCCATTTAGCGGACGCTCCTCGATAATCGACCTTGGTCACGTGATTTTTCTCTAAAGAAAAATTAAGTATTAATATCAACACTAGTAATCACAACTTGATCGAAACTTCGATGTGTGGGATAGAACATCGAAACATGCTTTCTATCCCCAAGCATGGTTATCAACTAAGAAATGCGCACATGAGCTGCATCTTCCCTTTCCAGAGTTCTAAGTAAAGCACAATAGAAATCTGTTCCGGATATCAGATTGGCTCCGTATATCGGATTGGTTCTTGTTACGTCATAGCTTTGTTTGAAACAAAATGAGCTCATTTATAACTTTTATTTAACAGAATTCTTAGCATTTTTAATTAGTAAAAACAAATTGATTAGTTGAAGTTTAAAAACATTTTTTTTTTAAATCACAAATATTAAAGATATAACTAAAATATAAAACAAACATACTTTCACACGGTTTTTATTTACGAAGTACTTTTATTTTCCTAATTTTTAAAAAGGCTAGAAGTTCTGATATAAGTAACTTATATTTCCGAGTATAAGCTGAGAGGTAAGATTTTGCTGCAAAAGTTCAGTCCAAACTAAAAAAAAAACGTGCAGATAGGTTTAGTTAGACAGTCAATAATTGGTAGTTTAACTTAGATAGACCTATCAGGCAGGCTGGAAGTTAGAGTCAAGATCTTATCCATTTGAAAAATAAGACAAAAACGATCGTTCGATCATTGCGAACAGAAATAAGGATGATAATATTTTCGAGGAGGATGCTATGAATTAAAAGCGCCCGCCGTTGGGTGGCGCTCACAGCGTCTTCTCTCTGGAGTTTTTCGACAATTTAACACTAGCAGTAGATGAATGACGTTGCTAAGCCTAACAATACCGAAGGGCGCATACCTAATAATTATGTTTTGTAGAACAGTGTATTGTACAGTAAATAAAATTTGTATGTTTGTAATAAGAAGCGGAATGATCTCTTTCCTCTGGATTTTAAACTCGAACAAAAAAACAATGAAAGGTAACGTAGTAACCACAGAGGATGACTAGGATATTAATGGTAAAGTGAAGAAAGATGCCATTTTCATAACCTTCTCTCTAATAATTACAGACATCCGAGAATTGCGAAAAAAATCCAAGTAGATTAGGTAAAGTTACTTGAATATGGCACAGCATATGAGGGCTATCAGCTTAAGGAAAAAGATGTCTCTATGAAAGATTTCTTAAGGGAAATTGGCTCGTATTCTCGTAACACATGGAGAAGACCACGAAATCCGACCACGCAGCCAATCCGAAGGTCAAACTACCATAATTCAGCAGTCTTTAACCGCTCGGCCTCCTTCAAAGTAGGATACAGATTCAGTAATTTGATCAATGTATATTAGGGTTAAACAAAATAAAAATAATAGATTTTTTCAATTAATTTCAATTATTTCGATTACTAATATTTTTTTTAATTATTCGCCTTTGTGATCGAATTATTTGTGAGTTATTTTGAGCTCGGATATAATGGGCAATCCTTAAACTTCAGTAGCAAAAAAATCTGCTAAAAATTCTGGACCTGTAAACGGTAAATATACGGCCATCCTTGACACTGCGTGGAAACACATGTATGCTATACTAATTATCACGGCTGAAATTCCTTCCTCTCTAAAGGATAGGCTATTTTGCACCACTTTCCTCACCGAGTTCCGGACTGGAAATGGCTCTCAGAGCCCCAAGTTTACGACGTTGTTGTGGGTGTATGTGTGATAATGAACTCGTAGCGCGTCGATGCTGCCAGGAGATCAGTAAACAGATTGGTACGCAGGGTCTATTTTCGGGAGAGGAAGCGCATCTAGACCCTTTCGGTCCGGATGCCGGAGATAGAGTGACGAAGGTTTTCTGTTACTTACCCTTCAAAACGTTAGTCGCATGTTTGGATATTTATTTCTAATCTTGAAACCAATACATTTATATGGCAAGCCAAGTGTAGAGAGACAGGAAACATGCATATAAAATGTTTAATGTTTAATATATAATGTTTTAATGAAATGGGCATAAATCATTCTTTGTCCACTAAAGTCCTTATCCGGCCTTTATTTTCACAACTGTTGGTCATGGATATATATTTCCTGTTACACAAATGTTTTGAATCAAATATGTGAAAAGCATTAATTAAATAATGACGCTCATAAGAAATATAAATTATGAACATGCAATTGCTTTTTGGACAAAAAAGAAACAAATTTCTTATTTTTTAAATATTTTTTTAAAAAATAAACATACTTAAAAATTAAACTCTTTTCTTACGATTCATTTTAATAACACTGAATGTTCTGCCGTTTACTTTATACCGCTGAAGAGAATAAAACGGTAAATTATACATCAGTCGTAATCACTTTTTTGTGTCTCAGCCATTTCGGATTTGGATGTAACATAATGGATTTATTTGATTCTAAGACGCATTCTTTACCGTTCTTACCCGAAACAGGAAAAACGACTTTGTATCTAATAAAATAGAACGTTGAAGTACATTAAGCAAATATTTTTAATAACCGTCTTTGATTTATTGAAAACGAAACATATCTTTTTGCTTTGCATTTAGGAAAAATTAATTACTTCGTAATAATTAGTAACTCAGAGTTACCCACGATTTTGAGATAAGATACTATCGATTCAATAACGCAATCCGTTTCCAGCGACATCTATATATGGAAAGAGGTGCGCGTTAGATGGAAAAAATATGATATTAATACCATATTCCTTCCATTCTAACGCGCATGTAAACATTCTAACGCATGTTTTGAGGCCACGTTTTAAACTATTTGGCCTCAAAACATGTGCCTAAAAATGACAAACCACACAAGAAGGTTGCAGTGATGGATAAACAAAAATTGGTGCATAGAATTAAAATTCCATACACCAGCAAAGAGGAGGAGTTTTTTACTGCTTGATCTCTTCATCTCGACTTTAACTACTTTGCCTTATTTAATTATAATCTGTAAGGTTTTAAATCAAATTCAAATATCACTATTCTGATTGCAACTCGTTTTATATATTAAATTTACAATTTTTTAGATTGTTCCTTTTGATTACGAGCCGTAAACTTACGAAATTATTGCATTCCAAACAGTGAATGCTACAGGAAAATCTTGGAGAACTCCGAGTTAAAAAAAATCAATAGTGTATTCGAATATCTCAGCATATGACATATTAGAACCAATAAAGTGCTCTCATAAAATGCGTTTTCTTTGTCATCAATGAAATAAATCGGAGGCATTAGCCTTCTTCCACCCCTTCTCAAGTATCTTAATCCTAAATTTAAATACTCAAAAAGCGGTGAGTACATTCATCAGTATTCCAGACAAGTGTATGGGAAATCCGAATCAAGCCGATACTTTTTTTAAGAAGTTCCCTAGAGAAATGCCGTCTTTTCATGCTCTTAAGGAAGAGAAGAAAAAAGAAAAGTGGAAGCATGTTTCATGATTCAGATATAAAATTCACTTTGAAAAAATGTGAAGAAGGAAGCGCTTTAGCGCCTAATTCTTCGTGGGCGGAATCATTATGCCGTATTTTATTCTTAACGTTCGATACTTGGCTAGATATGATATCTGTTTCATCGATTTTAATCTCGAATCAGGAATAAGAATTCTCGAGCTTGGAAAAGAGTTGAATATTGATAGGGTGGTTTGAAAAGAAATGGGAACTAGCGCTCCTCACTCACCGCTTTCCACATTCATTTCGAAAAGCTCAAATAAGTCGATAGTTTTGCAAATTTGAACCTCGAAAATAAAAAAAAAAAACGCTGAAAACCTCGAAAATAAAAAATAAAATCGTGTGTCTCCTTTACTTTTATACACACTTTTTTTTTTGTCTCGCTTCCTTCCCCCTCCCAACAAACCTTTTCCGATACTTTTGTAAAATCTTTCGTAAAAAAATCCCAAGGCATAGAAGGGCCATTCAAATATAAACAGTAGTTTATCAGCCAAACTTTACTGCCATGCAGTGAAACGACTTATACATTGCTTTTCTATGCGGCCAGCGCACAAGAAGTTTCTTAATAGCAGAAGAATAAAAGTCATGACTGTTTATCGATTCTTACATACTGCCAATAACTTCCTCCTTACATTTGAAGATACTACGTCTTTTTCCGTCGACCATATTTATTAAACGAAAGTTGTCACCTAAAACAGCACGATGTAGAGACAATAATGGATAAACGTGATGTTACAACACACATATATAAGATCTTTGTTTTGTTTTTATGTATGCCCGATCCTCACCAAGACAGTTTTTTTTTTTTTTTTTTTTTTTTTTTTTGTGTGTGTGTGTGTGTGTGTAAAGGAGGCTATAAATTAACTGCTATTTCTCTATTTTTTTGCTTGCATTTGGAATAAATAAATAAATAAAAAATCTGAAAGGATTAAGGTTTTAATGATCGCTCAAAGGGTGCTTTGAAAGCTGAATGTGGTTACTCAGTAGAGATCGTCAATAGACATGGCCCAGATGAAACTTGTGAAACATTTTATGCAATATCAGATGAATATGCATTCAGACTAACATGGAAACTTTATATATCTTCTGTATATTCAAAAAGTGAAACAATGTGTAATTCTATAAAAATATTTAATGTTTTAAATTAGATATATAATGAATTAAATGATTTTTATTTAAATCAATCAGATTAATAAGTAAAAAAATAATATTTTAAAGAATTGCATCTATTGCTTTTAAATAGTTTCCTAAATAATAGACAGATTAAATATGAAGGAATATCTTACGTTTTCCCCCCGAATAGCAACACACTCAAACGAAAAATCGTGATTCAAGACTAATAGCCCTTTTGAGCTGATAAATTAACATTAAAAAAAATTGGACGTGCTTTTTGGAGAATAGCATGCAATGGGAAATACGGGGTGTCAAGAATTAGCTTTATAGCTTTAAACATTAATAACTTCTAAAATAAAAAAGGTATTTACATTGTGTTTTCTGCAGTTATTAGTGCAATTCCTCAAGTTTTTTTTTCCTGTTTAGGCTAGCCAGTTGTAAGTGAGCATGTGGACTTCACAGGAGAAAACACGATGTCTTCCGTGGTTCATAATGAGCAAATTGGAAACACAGGTTCAATGGAACTTCCGGACCAAATTTCAAGGAATTCCGACCACCATCCGTGCATGGCACACTAGCTTCATAACCACAGGCTCTGTGTTTCATAAGAAAGGAGCAGGACGACCCAGAATAAGTGTTGAAAACGTTGAGCGGGTATGTGAAACGTATGTTACAGCATAACTGGCAAGAAGCATTCCCTGGGCAATCCGAAAAATTCAATTCGTTCGGATGCTAGGCAATTGCAAATACCCAGATCCAGAGTCCACATGGTGCTTCACAAACGGTTGCGTCTCTATGCCTATAAGGTACAGCTGTAGCGGGCAATGTTACCAACAGACAAACCAGTATGTGCGGAGTTTGCCATAGAGATGTTACACCGTATGGGTGAAGATGAAGGGTTCTTAAAACAGGTGTGCTTTATTGAAACAGGTGAAGATGAAGGGTTCTTGAAACAGGTGTGCTTTATTGAAACAGATGAAGATGAAGGGTTCTTGAAACAGGTGTGCTTTAGTGATGAGGCAACATTTCATATGTCTGGCCAATTAAACTGACATTACATACGAATAAGGGGTTCGTAAATCCCACATGAAACACTAGAAATTGAAAGAAACAGCCAAAAGGTCAATGCCTGGTCTGATGCACAATCGAATCATTGGGCATTTTTTCTTCATTAATGGCGTTTTTTCTTCGTTAATGTTAAAAGAGTTAATGATGGCATGTATATGGATATGCTTCACCTCTTTGCTCTTCCTCAGTTGGAGGGTTTGCAGCCTAATGTTTGGTTCCACTCCATCACTCTGGTTTAGAGCAATTTGTGATCAAATAGACGAAAAACCTTCCCCACCGATGGATTGGACGGGTTGGCCTAATTGCATGGCCACCAAGGTCTCCGGACATCATACCCCTTAACTTCTTTCTGTGGAATTATTCGAAGGATGCTGTTTACCGTACACAGGTTTCTGACATTGCTGATTTAAAACGACGCATTACAGATGTTTTTACGGCTGTCACAGACGAGATGTTACAGCATAACTGGCAAGAAGTTGAATGCAGACTGGATGTGCTTAGGGCCACAAATGGTGCACAGGTTGAGGTGTATCCATGAACAGAAACAAAACTTGATGAGTTGCACTGACTGCAGAAAACAGAAAGTAAGTATCATTTTTATTTTAGAAGTTATTGAAGTTTAAAATTGTAAAGATAATTCTTGGACGCCCTGTATTTTCAAAATTACGGGGCTGGTCATACTGGTGAAAACATTGAACGACTCTGGGATCGGTGAAACGGCCACAATAAAAAACACCGTTGAATAGCGTGATACGACTTAGATTCGTAGGCAATTTATGTGGTGCCGATTTTATACAAAAGACAGCAATCTTATTGCTATTTTAAATGAATTAGGGAATTCTAGCGCCGGAAAGATTCGTGTAAGTTTTAATGATTTTTATAAGTCAAATAATCACAATCCTCTTAAATACTGTTTAAATGGACCAAAATATGAAAGTTTAATATTGCTAAAAATAGACTGTTGAGGGGGAGTAGGATATCCCACTAATGTTGTGTGACTGAAATTAATCATCGTTCTTTGCGTTCAGGCATCAAAAGATGGGGAACTACTCTGGAGCTTACCTTACTAAATTTAAAACAATTTTTTTTCTATTTTTTCCAAACTATCAATACTTATTTTAAATTATTTAGCAGTTTCTCTGGCGGTGATTCTCTGGTCAACCCGAATTAGTGCATCAGAGGCAATCAGTTTGTTTTCATCGGTTGAGGTTCTCGACTAACAAGCATGAGGTTCATTTCAACATTCATGTGGCCTTCTTTAAAAGATTTGCAACAACCATACTCTCTAGACTAGACACTCTTTCAATTCCAAATTGATTTTTAAATCTCAAGTAAATTTCAGACTTTCATTAGTCAAAAAATCTAGTGATGATTCGCTGCGAAATACTGATGTGGATCTCCTGCTCCTACATTTTGATTACAACTAACAGAATATGTGGGAAGATAAAGAAACACTACTGTTGACTAATTCAAACATGTAGGTTTTGCTCAATGAGTCTTGATTACGTTGAACGTTTTACAAGAAAGGAGCATGAAAATTCCTGTTCATATTTGAAATTCTCGTAGTAAATGATAACTGACGTATAAAGACTTCGACAAACTATATTTCTATAACCAATTAGCCCTAGCGCAAGAACTTGCGTCCCCTTGTTGAACTCTGTGGAGGGTGGTGCCGCGGGGTCCGAATCTTTGTTCATTTAAAATATGGATTCTGTAAATGAACTTTGTTTTTCAGAAAGGACGATGAATATGTCCAAAAGATTAAAACATGTAAATGCTAATACAGAACAAAATAATAAGTCTTTACCTCGTTTCCTGGATTTTAAACAACAGAGCAGGCGAACTTCAGAAATAATCACTGTTCTTCATACAGAAATATATACAATCGTAAGTAACATTCAAGCGACTTCGTTCAAGCGATCTGTTAATCGAAACCAATTCTCATAGTCAATCTGGAACTTTTCCCGTAGGTGAATCAAGATGCGTTAAAAAGATCAGGTGTCGATACGAAGCGCCTGATCCTAACCTTCAGTTTTGCCCAAAAATGTAAAGGATTGGTATCTTTATTACTCTGTAAGACCATATTTCCCCTATCCCACTCGCTGTTTCAAGTGCACTTTGGCACTTGGAAGTTTTCAGCACTTTGGCTACCCAAAGATGTCATGCGGTGGAAAACTTAATACGTGCACGCTACTCAGTTGAGGGTCATGAAATCGATACTTGTACCGCTGCGCCTCTGTTATTAATTGCAAAGGGAAGCATACAGCTTTCTCACGATCCTACTTTATGTGGAAAACCGCGAGATAGGTGCAAGTTATAAAAATACCTCGTACGCTGAAGATAGAAGATTAATTTCTGATACTCAGCCCCGTCTAAATGTAGCCTACGCAAATGTTGTGAAAGCATCCATGTCGGTTACCACTGAAACGACTGTTTGTATTTAGGGAAAAAAAAACATCCCCAAGCATTACAAAATTAATTAAGATATAATAAATCTTATATAACTAAAGACCAAGCAAGCCATAAAAATAAACAGATAAATATAAAGAAACGGAAAACATACAAGATAAAGAGGGAAAGAATCAAAATCTCATCCAATGAGCACAAGCTCATTAAACAACACGTATTCTGGTGCTACAGAATCTGAAATGGATGTGGAAATGGGAATGGATAACGCCACACATTTAACCCCACAAAACAATAAAGCACCATAAGCACGACAAACATTCATGATGACTACTCTGTTGTCGTGGAACTGTCAATGGTTCCACGAAAACAGAGTTATGGTTAAAACAATAATCTTGTACATTTAAAACACCTAACTGACGAGTATGATCCTATCTGCTTTTCAAATACAAGAAACGCTTTTGAAAAAATAACAACAGCTTAAGCGTCGGAAATGTTCGTTTGTTAAAAAAGATAATGTTTGTAATGATCGTGTCAGCGGTGGTGTAGGTCGTCTTATATCGCTTGACTATCCTTGAACCACATTTCATCCATCCACAGCCTCCAAGCTGTTTCAGTACAGGTTAATATTGAAAAGCTGATTTGATTGTGTTGAATATATTATTTGCTTCCAAATGAAAGCATTGAACAGGTGGATATGAATAGTTTAATAGAGCAGTTGCCTGAACTTTTTATCCCCTTAAGTGGTTTTAACAGCCACAATCCTCTTCGGGGAAGTAAAGATAAAAACTCACATAGTATAAAAATCAATGACCATTCTCTTTGCCTCTTTCATAACGCAAGGCAAACTTACTTCCACCAAGCCTACGAGAACCTTAAACAGCATTGATCTCACTACCTGCTCACTATCTCTGTTTCAATTTTGCAAATTTAAGGCAGGACGTGACCCACATATCAGTGATCATTTTCTACTTTTGTAGATAGAGATAATGCCCATTTGCAATCTCCATGTTTCATACTGAAGAAAGCAATTTGGTATCTTTTCTCCATCTATTGTAGAGCTCATTGAAGACTTGGTGAATGATGTGCACAATACAGTGGAAACTCAGGTAATTAAACAGTCAAATTTTCTATTTCTGTGTCATTTACAACAATGGTCCCATACTCAAATTGCATGTGGGTTGAATGCACTATTCGAAAACAGGTGAAGAGTCAGAACATTTTTTTAAAGGAAAATTTTTTATCAACAAATTAAAAAACATTTGAAATAAACTTTAAATGTCGCCTAGTAAATATTTATCAGGATATACGTAAACAATAATAATAAAACGTCACAGGAAAAATTCAAATTTTTAATTATTTTTTATCTGATATCTAAAGTTTAGTACTTACCAGACATTTTCTGTTAGCTACACTTTGTAATTCAAATATATGAAGAGCTAAATATTAACTTTTCAGACTGATAGCTATTTGAAATAATTCTAGCATTGTTTATGAATCATTAGATAACTTGCTTAAATTTAAAATAAAAATTCAAAAAAATTCTAAAGTTTTCAGAGAAAATTTTCCAAATAACTTCAGAATAAATAACGACAACTTAGTCTCTTTCTTTCAATTATAAAATTATTCTTCGACGCATAAATAAAAATAGATATGTTCGTATGTAAATAATTTTAATATTAGCTTGACACTCATCTGGAATTTCGATTCTGATAAAGATTGTAGACTTAGAAAGAAATTACTAGAAATTATCTTCTTCACAGGTTGTAGAAACTCATCGTTCAATCGGGTTAATTTTCAACTGTTAAAAAGCGACTATTCACATATAAATGTATTCTCAGATAAAACTATTATTCTCAGAGCAAGCATCCGTAACTGATTAATGTTTTGATAAGTATGAAGAAAAATTTATAAAATCTAAATACTTAAATCTCTGAAAAAGATTTATATCACGATGTAAAGTAATTAGCTCCATTTATAGATTTTCTGTTACATTATTCATTATCTTTTTTAATGGCAATAAAAATAATGTAAACTCGGACTAAAATCTTGAAATTTTTTAAACACCGTATTTACAATAGATATCTAATTGAAATATATTAATGAAAATGTATTCCTTCCGCGTATTGCCTAAAGAAGAATTTTTTTCCTCTTTAAATTAAGGCATCGTACACAATTTTGTTTGCCGAAGAAAAGGATCGAAACCCCGACCGAACTACCAGTATTCAGCGACTTTTATCGCTCGGCCGCTGGTGGGAAAGAAATGCTTAGTCTTGGCGAATATGCCCTGAGATGAAGATCATAGCTCCATGCTACGTGTTTATAGAAATCTAGTCCGTTCTAAACTGGATTAAGTGCAGAGGTTCATGGTTTAGCATGGTCTTCTGTGTTACTTAAACTTGATCTTATTCATCATCAGGCTTTAAAGACATGTTGAAGAGCATTTAGAACGTCTCCTACAGAAAGTCTGTATGTTTACTGTTATGAATCATGTTTACAGTTAAGATGTGAGCAATCGTCCCTTTGCTTTATTTTAAAATCTTGTGGAAATATATCTTCTTAATATAACCTTACCTGATTAATATGTTCGATCGCTTGTTTAAAGCATGGCTATCTTGTGTGCTTTTATTCTCTTTAGGGCTCGGTAACTGATTGAAGAATAGTGCGTACCCGGTGTGAATGCATTGGGAGAGTGCACGAACTCAGGTTCTGAGTAGCTTTCACATTTTCGATAAAAGAAACACTAATGAGGTCGTCTGTAACCAACTTTTCTTACTCATAGACATAAGCACAAAAATTATATCCCCATATTTACAGATGGGACAAAAGCAGCGAGTCATGTTGGAATATCGTTCGTGATTGAAAATTTTATGGAAGAGTAGACAATTACTTTTAGTTTAAAGTTTGGTATTCTTTCCCAGTTTCAAACCAGTCAAACTAATTTTTCAAACCAGTCAAATTAGTTTATGTTCGGGCAAATGCATACAATTATTGTGCATAACCAAGTATAGTCGAAAATAATTCGCGGATTTTTCTAGCGCATGTCAGAATATTTTCAACTAGAATAATGTTCCGTACTTCGCTACGGCCTAGAGAAACAATTATTTTACCTCATAACTGAATTATTTAAAATTTGCTGTAGACTTTAGCTAAATTACTGGTCAGTAACCGGCGCAAA